TGTGATATTCTGTCCTTCTCTGGCTATGATACTCCACAAAATAGGCCGGACTCATTATGCTTCATGGAGACCACAGGATGTGACCAAAGACACTTGTTCTGTTCCGGGCATTTTTCTCTAAAGCTGGAAATGACCCTTCTGAAAGGGCCTCTTCCCATTCCATGTATCCGGAGGCAGCATTTTCCAAAGCATTCACTAATTCAGTAAACCTATAAGCTCATATGAAAATGTGGGTGTTAAATTCTTTCTGCCTCTGTTTTCCCATCTCTGAATGGGAGTAACACTACTCATGTGCCTTTCAGTCGGGTTTATACATGTTTGTAAATCTTGACATGGTGGAGCACCTGAAGAGGAAGATTGGCTAAGGCAGCCTTGGAAAGAAGCCAGCCAATCAGAAGAGGGCTTATTGAGCCAAACTTCAGGGAGAAGGCTTAATGGAGCAGCCAATCAGAACCAGGCTGGCCCATATAAGGGCTGCTGAGCAGAAGGCTCCCTGGAACTCTTCCTGAATTGGTTGCCAGGAGAGAAACACCACAGCCAAAGCAGGGGTGGGTGTGGTGAGGGGAGCAAAAGGGAGCTACAGCCTGACTGACTGACAGACTGACACCCTGATACAGGGAGAAAGAAGGAGCTGAGTCTATGGGGAAGTGGGTGAAGGAATCAGGGACATGTTGGAACAGGGGCAATAGGCAGCTGCCCATTATAGGGTCCTTCAGTTCCAACCCATAGAAGGCAGGTTCGGATCCCTCCACCTTTATAGCCCTCTTGCAAATGTGGAGGGGGGCTGGTATCCAGACTGCATTTTGCTCCTGAGGTCAGGGACAGAACCTTGAGCTGTAGTTGGCCAATGAGGCATTTGTGCACTGAGGCAAGTGGCAGAACTAAGAACAGTCAGTTCCCCAGTATGGGGAGCTAACAGAGTGAGGCGCTGTGTCCAGAAGAGGTCGCTGTGGTTTGGGGAATAATGTAGATCATAATCTCATGGGTCCAAAGGTGAAGTAACGGTCGTGAGGCACCGTCTGTGCAAGTTGCCCTGGTGGAGGTGGCGGTCAGCCTTGCCTCTAGTACAGACCATCAGTGTAGGATCTCTCAGCACCTGTTCAGCTGTATTCTATTTACCATCACAACTTCCATCACAGAGAAAGGAAATGTCTTGATCCAAAGTTGCACAAGTGGTCTTTGGTAATGCTAGGAAGAAACTCCCAAATTACAGAGCAGTGAATCAGCACTTTATCTCTCAGAGCATTTTTCCTTCTTGTGGCAATAGAGGAACAGTGGCGGAAAAGCTATGCTGGTAAGAAAGTGTCAACCAGTCCATCATTCTGTACTGTAATGAAGCCTTTTTGGAGATTTACTGTGTATGTCTCATAAATGAGCTGAGGACGTAGTAGCCTTCCTCTGTAGCATGGGGTACAGGTCACAGCTGGAGGATTCTCTGCATCTTGGGGTCTTCAAAGTATTTGAAGGCTTCAATATCTGAGCTATAGGTGAGAGAATTATTCTAGGAGGGGGTGGGTGAGATTCTGTGGCCAGCACTGTGCAGGGGGTCAGACTAGATGGTCCCTTCTGACCTTAAAGTCTATGAGTCTATGAGAATACATGAGAACTTGTTGGGCTCCCTCTTTGAAGATACACTGCTAATTACATGCACAGCCATCAGATCATCCTACATTTTTGTTACACATTTAAAGGCCTGACTTGCTGAGATAATCTCACGTGTCAGACATTTTCAAAAGACTCCTTCACTTTCAGTCCATTAGCTGCTTCATAAATTAACGACAGCAGCTACAAGCAAACAGGATGCAAAAGAAATTTTTTCCCCATTTTGATAGTCTGTACCCTAGTTTTCACCCCTTTTGTAAGACCAGGATAAATTTTGTATAAAGCAACCTTGTGTGATATCATTTGATAGCCCATAATCCCTTGAACATCATTGTCCTGACACAGTGTGTGTAGCAGCACTGTGTGTACAGTTTCAATATTCTACTCTGTAACATTAGTGAGCTGTTGTGAGCGCAGAGAAGCAGGGCCAAGCATTTCCTCAGAGAGAAAAAGCAAATTGATACCTCCGCCAGGTGTCAAAAAAATCCAGTGAGTGCCAGGGATGGTGAGGGAAAGATTTATAATTCAAAAAGATCTGGAGAACCTGGAGAAATGGTCTGAGGTAAGTTGAATGAAATTCAAGAAGAACAAGATCATACTACTCCACTTAGGAAGGAGTACAGCTCCACAAAGCGAAGGCATGTCTACACTAACAAAAAGATGGACCCTCCAGAATTTGATCTTCTAGCCCTGGATTTTGCAGGTGTAGATTAGACCCCCCAAACTGAATGGTGACGGCAGCCCATGCCAGTGTCCTGTACTCCTCAGTCTATGAGGAGTAAGGGAAGCCGTTGGGAGTGTGTGCAGTATCCTAGGGTGTGTCTAGACTACACGGCTAGACACAAGGCATACCGGAGCAGTCGGCAAAGGCTTCCTTTGTCGATCATGCTGCATCTAGACTGTCCCATTGTGCCGGATCAGCTGATCGTTGGCCAGCACGGCTGCCATATTTATTTTAATGAAGCGGGGTTATTTAAACTAATTTACTGGGCTCACTCAATGGAGTCATGTAGTCTAGACACACCCTTACAGTGTAGATACTCCGGCAGCTTGGTTTGAGGGAGGCCAAATACAGCTGGGCATTGTACATACCTGGATTGCATACCTTAAGTCAACCTGCCTGGTCTATTGTAGACCAGGCCAGAAAATGGGAAATGCCTACATAGGAAGCAGTCCTGCAGAAAAAAATTATTTTCGTTAAACTTGGGTGATATTGCAAGATGCAAATGTCTTAAATTGCAACAAGGAGGCTTAGGTTGGCTATTAAAAAAACTGTCATGGTGATCCACTGGAATAAATTGCCTAGGGTGATTGTAGAATCTCCATCACTAGAGATATTTAAGAGCTGTTTAGACAGACACCTGTCAGGATGGTCTAGATCAGTGGTTCCCAGCCTTCTCCAGATGGGGACCCATTTTGACAATTCAGGGATACTTGGTGACCCAAGGCAATTCAAGAACGAGGGAGGGGGAAATCTGGGGGGTGGAAGAGGGGTAAGTGCCATAACTAGCTAGTTTTGCGCCTGAGGAAAGAAAATAAAATTATGCTCCCTCCTGTTTATTATATATTCATAGTAGTTATTTCATAGAAAAACTGAAGATACATTAATGATGTGGAAGAAAACATTGTCCTCACTCTGCATTTGTAAGCAACAGGTAGCCAGAGGCAGTTTTATTACGCGCTGCAGCAAGGGAAAAACTGGTTCGGATGGGGGGGGACTCCCTCTTCCGAGGCAGATCTTCAAATACAAACAATTATGAAGCAGTTTATATACCATCCATTACATATAATAACAATAACAATTGGTCTCCTTCCCATTACAAACACCAATGGCTCACAGTTATTTAGTTCCACCCAGATGCTCCTTATCTCAAGGTCCCTTCCAGAGTCAGCGTTCTACCCTTATCTCCGTATAGAGGCGAGAGGCAAAGGCAGCGTCTAATTACAGATCTCGCGTTGTCAGGCCACAGACTTAGCCTGACTCTTGCTCTCTTGTTATCAAGACCAAGATGGCTGCACACAAATTCCCTTAGTCCCTTTTCCTGCCTCCACAATGGTAAAATAACACTACTTTTATTTGAGTTGTGGCGGGGGAAAGACACTCATCCCCAAACCACCCTCCCACCCTGACTTAAACCCCACACTCAGAGGCTGAAGGAGTCACACACAGTGGTTGGAGGGCCTGAGAGTCACACTCAGGGGCTGGAGGAGCTGGGAGTCTCACAGTCAGGGCAGAGTCCTGGTGCCTCCACAATGGTAAAATAACACTACTTTTATTTGAGTTGTGGCGGGGGAAAGACACTCATCCCCAAACCACCCTCCCACCCTGACTTAAACCCCACACTCAGAGGCTGAAGGAGTCACACACAGTGGTTGGAGGGCCTGAGAGTCACACTCAGGGGCTGGAGGAGCTGGGAGTCTCACAGTCAGGGCAGAGTCCTGGT